GATTTAGAGGTCTTTAGGGGAATCCAAAGTGGGCTTATGAAAAATAATAGATTGCCCAAGGTCGTGAGTAGGGTGAGGCCCAGAGTGAGACAGAGGGAATAACCCATGAGTAGGCAAAGGGAAAAGAGAATGGAGTCCTGCTAGGTCTTAGGAAAGGGGTGGGTAGGGGGATCAAAGGAAGGGAGGCCAGATGAGGCAGTGGGAAAAAACTGTCAAAAGATGATGTCATCAGGGACTCAGGCTTCATAGGGAGGGACTGTATGCTGACCTAACCAGCTCCAATGCCTGGTTTTTGCCTTCTGATAATCCATAGTTTAAAGAAAAGAGAATGTTAGAGCAAAGTACAGTGTGTTTGTATCTGTGGAAGAAGTCACCATAGAGAAACTTTAGATCATCTAAACTGATATGAAAGGTTGCCAAGATATGTTATTCATTCAAAGAAATTTTTTTAAGTTGCAAGAAGGTATTTTCCATGAAATCCATTTTGAAAAAATAGATTTGTATGTCTGAGTGCCAACGTATGTGTTGGTATTTCAGCGAATATACATAAATGCTTGTTTCTGCATAGATAATTTCTGGACAGACATACAAGAAAAAATGAGTCCAGCAATAGATCTGTAGGGAAAAAAAACCATCTCTATTTCTGAAATTATATCCACCTAGCATATGTATTTGTTATATTGAGCACATACTACTTTCATGCCTTTTTAAAAGAGAAAAAATGGGCATTTTAATAATGCATAGGAATAAACATTGTAGCATCTCCTGTCTTTGGAGAGGAGAGGCAGGAGATTGTCGGTTCTGAAGGCTGACACGCACCCAGAATGTGAGGGTGTGACAGCATAAAGGCAGCTCAGGCATTCTAGTAGGCAGTTCAGGGTGCTTTTCCATAGAAACGTGTCCAACTAAGGATTTTTCTCCTAGGCTGTCTGGAATTCCCACCAGAATCTTTATCATATTGATCTGTGCGGTTCTAAGAGGCCTGTGCTTAAACAGCTTATTGGGTGAGGAAAGAGGCCTGGTTGATTAGTTCCATTTTCATTTACCTGTAAATCTGAGTATTGAGCTTAGATAAAGATATATGGGGTCTTCGGAAAAGTCGTGACATATTTTTCTGGTTTTCTATGCAAAATGCATCGTGACTTTTCCAGCAACCCAATACTTAATACACTAATGAATGAAACAGAAAAGATGCCATTTACAGGGAAGGTTTGCAACTTTAGGCTAAGATTTTTTAGGTAGGATACAAATGGCGTTGAACTACAAAAGTACCAACTGGTAAATTGGACTTTATAAAAGGTAAAAAAGTACCTGCTTAATAAAAGATACTATTAAACTGAATACCTAAGCCATGGACTGAGGGGGAAAAAAAAAACTCATAAAGGATTTATATTCAGAATATTTAAAGAATCTTTACAGCTAAATTATAGAAAGTTGAACAGTTCAATTAAAAACTGGCAGAGGGCTTTTCACATAAGAGACAACTTCACAGAGCATCTTTCTGATGCTCAATATCATTTGTCATTAGGGAAATATAAATTAAAACCATAATGAGATACCATTGCATACCCATTAAATGGCTGAAATTTTAAAAGAGTGACAGTTTCATGTGTTAGTAGGAAAAATATGGAACAAATAGGACTCTTATATGTAACTGCACACTCTTAGGAAAACAATTTAGCTGCTCCCTATGTTAAACATACACTTACAGAAGAGAAATGAAAATATGTGTTCAAAGAAGACTGGTACAAAGGTTTGTAGCAGCTTTTTTATAATATCTAAAACTGGAAACAGTCCAGTTCAGGTGAATTGGCTTAAAAAAAATTTTTTTTTAATAAAAAAAAATGTGGTATGTCCATTCAGTGGGAATACTACTCAGTGAAGCTTAGGAAATGAACTGCTATACCACATCATGTATAGAGACAGAGCAAATCAGTGATTGTCCAGGGAAGGGATAGATATGACTGCAAAGGGACACAAGGAAATTTTGGAGTAGCAGAATCTTACAGTTGTGCTCTTTATCTTGATTGTGATGTTGGTAATCCTGGAGTAAAGTTTGTCAGAACTCATCAAACTCTACACTTAAAATGAGTGCATTTTATTGTATGCAAATCATCCTTCAATCATGCTGCTTTTAAAATATTGATAGATGGTAGTCACTGCATCCCTCTAGGGAAGAACTGGCACTGCAGGGTGCAGGATACATAAACCCACAACTACATTTACATTTCCTCATACCATGCACAGTTCTCGTGTGGCCAGTTCAGTTACTAAGAGGGGAGGGTCCCATGTTTTGCTCATCATTCCATTCTGCCCATAGGGCTTCTAATTCAGGAACTGCTCCTTTCACTATGGAAGGGGATGGAGAGTGTAGACATGCATTAGAGATCACAATGGCTATTGTACCTACCCAGAACCCAGAACCAACCCATGACAGCATCAGAAGTCTTAATGGAGGCATTAGACACAGTAAATCTGGCCATAGGGAGTGTGGGGACTTGTCTTTGTCCTGTTTTTACCTGTTCATGTGTTGATTTGGTTGGCTTGGGTTGGGGAGAGGCTCTTAGGCACTCTCCCAAACCACACTCCTAAGGTTCTCCTGAGTTTGTGTGTGTCAAGGGTACTCTTTTTCATTAAGATTCTTTTTCTCTCTTTATGTTGTCTTTCGTTTTGTGGCCTTTTGACCTCCTTGAGGTCCAACATGTTTTTGAAAAATACTGAACTACTAGGACCAGCGGGTGGCATGGTAGTTAAGATGCTAGACTCCCACCTGGCCAGTTGTGGCTCAAGTCCCAGACCTGACAGCTTGAGAATCACACCAGTCACATGTGTGTGAGTGCCCAAAATCCTGGAAGAGAAAGGATTGTGGTGTGGCCATCCCTCTGGGGAGTGATTTCTTACTTTCCCTCTCTGTCTCTCTCTGTCTCTGTGTCTCTCTCCAGCAAGCTCACATGCCCTTTGGCAAAAACCTTTTAAAAAAAAAAGAATATGGAACTACTTTCTTTTGTTTTCTGGCAAAAATAAATAGGGAGAGACTCCTTACTTCTTATCTCTATTTCCTCTTATCCCAGCAAGCCTCCTAGTTTCTCAGGAAAGGTCTAGGTAGTCATCCAGGGAGAAAGGGACCATCTAGCCAGGCGTAGTCACTTGTAGCTCTTGTATCCTCGAAGATGGCAAAGATCCTTTGCTTGCAAGGAGAATCAGCATGTTTTCTCAGCTCCTCCTTGAGAAAGGCAAAGGTTCTTCCCAAAATGAAGAGCAGGAGGTAAGGCCTCAGAGTCCCTGACAGCTCTTCCTGGGACCTGCTTGTCCCTGGAGGCTTGCAGGGTGCCACCGTAATGCTGAGACTGTGAGTCC